GACAGAAGTTATATCTGAATACTCGATTTTTTTTTTAATTATTTTTCTTAATAGGAACAAATCAATTTTCCATAACCTTTATTCCAAATGTTTGTCCACTTTAATTTATTGTTTAATTTATTTTCTTCATTCTAACTTTTGAATAACCAATTTGAATGTATTTGTTTAGTTTCTTTCCAAGTTTTATATAACTTAGTTTCAAGTGTATGTAGTGTCCATTCATCTAAAATTTCTTCACAAGTATATAAGGATGGACTTGTTTTGGTCAGAATGCCATTTATACCTAATTATATAATAAATTACCTCTAATTTAATGGCCATTTTAACATTAATGTTTATGGTTATCATCATTATCTTAATCGCATTTTCTATTACAACATGGACAAGTATATTCACAACCATTCATTTTCAATCTTAATTTAATAAATTCTTCATCAAATTTATAGTCATTTTGAGTAATAGTCATCGAACTGTAGTCGTTTGATATTAAATCAATTTATTAAATAAAGGTTTCTATGAAAATCTTTAAATTATGAACTTGTCTCTTTTTAATTTAAAATTATAAAGGAAATTAGCTTATTACGGGTTTGTAATTACTACTATTGAACAATCGCTTATACTTGTCCTAAATTTTACTATCACTCTATTTCTAACCATGAAGGTTAGAAAGAACTAAGTCAAATAAATAATTTTCATAATTGATTTTATTCTATAAATTTTCTTCTTTTATAAAATACATAATTGTTGAAACTTTTTCATTTTGATATTGAAGAAATTAGAAAAAAATTATAGCATTTTCTTGAATACCAAAAAAATATTAACTGAATTCTTTTTGATATTAATTAGAATATTTCTTGATCAAATGATCCTAATATTATGATAGCATTTCGTTTGTGTAATTACTAATATAAGATTTTTAATCAATCGTATATGAAAGTAATTTTTATTAAAATACTTCATCATTCATCATATTATCATTGACATTAATTAATAATTCTTTATCCATTTATTCTATAAGCTCAGCATTTGATATACTTCTTTTGTTAATATCTTCTAGAAATTGTTTTTTATTTCTACTTAAAAAGTTAGATTTTAATTAAGCTTGTAGTTTTTTGATTAACTGTTTCGCCATAACCTAACTTTATTCTATATCATCTTGATTAATTTCTGCAATGCAACTACATAATTCATTTTCGTAATTATTCTTAAGTTAATAATTATTATTTTTGAAATATAAAGATGAATAGCAAATAAATCTCCAGATGATTAGTATAGAATAATAATATATGCACCTTTCTCCTACATCAGTTAATCTAACACCAAACAAAGCAAATTAATTGTTATATTTAACTTTAATTTTGTTTTTAATCATTTGCATAATCTATGTGATTAAATATGGATTATATTATTAATCGTTCTAGTCTTTATTATAATTACTTTAATAATTTATAGATTTTCGAATAATAATCTCTTTTTTAATCAATAAATAGACCTCTTTATACAGTTTTTTCCAACCTTATTTTTAAATCATAATTTTGTTAAATTGTTTTGGAAAATCTTCTCTAAAATGTTAAGGGATTTTTCCTTACGGATTCATAATATATTAGAATGATTCTTATTATTATGATTTACATTCTTAAATGTCAATTTTTGTATTAATTATAAAGAATTATTATTAAAGATTGCTTTTAAAAGTTTGATTATCCTACCATGATTTATCTATTACTTCATTAACCTTTAAATTTTTATAGATCTCTTAAAATTCTTATAAATTCACTGTGTTTGACAAATCGATATTGTAAATATTCTCATTAAACCTCAAGTTCTTTAGAAATTTAATAAAGGCTTCGTTCGCAACTTTCGAAATACTCCACTTACTTTATAGGTTATAACGAGATTATTAAAATGTATTACTTTGAATTATAATATGTTCTAAATTTTTTCTTTAGTTCTCCTCATACAAAATGTTAAAATAATCTAAAAGAACAAAATAATTATTAAAATTGGTTTGTAAATTATTGCATTAATTATTGCATTAATTATTTTTGTTTAAATAATCAAAAAAATCGTGCGATAAAAGATTTTCATTTTCAAAATACGGCTAAATATCTTTCTTGGAAACAACTTAATATTTAATTTCTTATTAGAAAAACTCTTTCATATTTATTAATTAATCTTTAGATTTTTCTATTTTGTCTTTAATGCTTTGATGAAAAATCTCAAGATAAGTTAAATTTTACTTATTTTTTTCTAGAATTAAAAACTAATCAGTTTCATAGAATTCTTTTTTAAATTCTTCAAATATTTAATCAGATTCAAAACTCAAAATATTATATGGATTTTCGAGTAAGACATATTTATGAAAATAGTTAATGTATTCCATAAAAAATTTCGTGTTCGGTGTGTGTTGGTTGGGGGCGTCAAAAATATTAGAAAAGTAAA